GCTTTTAATCTGCATTCCATGTCTTGTGCTCATTAACTTCCCCTTTGCTGAGTTCTGTTCTGAAGGCAGTGACTCACTCATCGATATACAATGTAATGAGTTCTGCTTTCCCTGACTGCACAGACATGAAATACTCTTTTATCTTGTGTTCAACGGTTCTGCGATCTCTAACTGAGGCATGTTCTGCTGGCCAGCGTTTGGCTGAGCTGCCGTTGATGCCTGCTGCTCTGTAACATTCTATTTTGAGGTTTTACCAGTGTATTCAGGATGAGATAGTATCTCCCCTCCCCATAGCTTTTCTTTCCTCTGGAGGAGAGGACATTTTACATTTGCTTACAATGTCAGAGAAACTTTCTTCCTTGCAAAAGTTTTGTACTCTGATCTGATATATAAAAATGTCATTCATGTCCAGCAGGGCTGTGGCCCATTGTATCTCAAATAGTTCTTCACATTTGGTGACTAATCTTGATACTATTTAAGTCTATGGAAAAATTCCCTTTTAAACTCATTAATGTAGCTCTATGCAGGCACTGGTTCACCTGCGCAGAGCAATCTGCATGGTCAGGGCCTGGAACAACTTACCTTCCAGAACTTTATCATCACTCAGATGATAAAAAGGTCCCTGAAACACATTCCCCCTATGATTATCCTTATGCAGCCTCAATCTACTGTGACAAAGGTTCCCTGGACATCATAGAAGGACCTATTGCTCCCCAGACCTATTCAAGAATTCACAAGTTATTTAATACCTTTTATTTTGCACTTTACCATTTGACATTCCACCACACGTAAAATTAGTTTGAATTTGTTGAGGGTATGGCCCAACCATGCAATCCTTATTCGCCCAAATACTCATTTTGAAGTCATCACAGCTACATTATATAAGTAAATCTGACTCACACGAACAACAGTTTTGCAAGATCTCTACTGAAAAGCTCTCCTGACATGTACAGGAATGAGAGGTCTATAGGGCAGACACTGGTCTATCTTATTACACCAGTGCAAATTAGAGGAGTTTTAGTGAACTCAGTGGAATTATTCCTAGTTTACAACAGTGTAAGTGAGAGCAGAATTTAGCCCCATCATAAAAACATAAGAACAGCCATACTGTGTCAGACCAAAGGTCCATCTAACCCAGTATCCTGTTTTCCAACAGTGGCCAGTGCCAATTGCCCCAGAAGGAGTGAACAGAACAGGCATCAAGTGATTCCTCTCCTGTCATCCATTTCCAGACCCTGACAAACACAGGCCAAGGACAGCATTCCTACCCAACCTGGCAAATAAGCATTGATGGACCTAACTTCCATGAATTTATATAATTCTCTTTTGAACTCTGTTACAGTCCTGGTCTTTATAACATCCTTTGGCAAGGAGTTCCACAGGCTCACTATGTACTGTGTGAAAAATAACTTCCTTTTGCTTGTTTTAAACTTTCTATCTGTTAATTTCATTTGATGACCCCTAGTTCTTATGGGAACAAGTAAATGACTTTTCCTTTTTCACTTTCTCCATGTCTGCAATGATTTTATAGACCTCTGTTGTATCCCCCATGAGTCTCCTCTTTTCTAAGCTGAAAAGTCTCAGTCTTTCTAATTTCTCTTCATATAACACCCATTCCAAATCCCTAATCATTTTTGTTGCATTTTTATGGAACTTTTCCACTACCAATATATCTTTTTTGAGATGAGGTGACCACTTTGGTACGCAGTGTTCAAGATGTTGGTTTATCATGGATTTATGTAGAGGCAATAAGATATTCTCTCTCTTATTCTCTATCTCTTTTTTAATGATTCCTAACATTCCATTTTCTTTGACTTCTGCAGCACACTGACTGGATGTTTTCAGAGAAATAGCCATAATCACACCAAGCTCTCTCTCTTGAATGGTTATAGCTCAATTAGATCCCACCATTTTTGAGTCCCCATCACTTTGTACCTATATTTGGGATTATGTTTTCCAATGGGCATTACTTTGCATATATCAACAATAACATTATTTGCCTTTTTGTTGCCCAATCACCTAGTTTTGTGAGATCCTTTTGAAGCTCTTACCAGTCTGCTTTGTTCTTAACTATCTTGAACAGTTTAGTACCATATGCAAATTTTGCCACCTCACTATTTACCCCTCTCTCCAGACCATTTCTAAATAAGTTAAATAGGATTGGTCCCAGTGTAGACCTTTGGAGGATACCACGAGTTATCTCTCTCCATTCTGAAAACTGACCATTTATTCCCACTTTTTATTTCCTGTCTTTTAACTAGTTATCAATCCATGAAAGGACCTTCCCTCTTATCCCATGACAACTTACTTTATTTAAGAGCCTTTGGGGAGGGTCCTTGTCAAAGGCTTTCTGGAAATCTAAGTAGACTATATCCACTGGATCCCCCTTGTCCACATGTTTGTTGACCTCCCTCAAAGAACTCTAGCAGATTAGTAAGGCATGATTACTCTTTACGGAAACCATGTTGACTTTTCCCCAACACATTGTGTTCATCTATGCATCTGACAATTCTATTCTTTACTATAGTTTTAACTAATTTGCCCGGTACTGATGTTAGACTACTGGTCTGTAATTTCAGGGATCACCTATAGAACCCTTTTTAAATATTGGCATCACGTTAGCTATCTTCTAAAGGATAAGTTACAAACCACAGTTAATAGTTCTGCAATATCACATTTGAGTTCTTTTAGAACTCTGGGGTGAATGCCATCTGATCCTAGTGACTTGTTACTGTTAAGTTTATCCATTTGTTCCAAACCCTCCTCTAATGACACCTCAATCTGAGACAATTCCTCAGATTTGTCACTGCAAAAGAATAGCTCAGGTTTGGAAATGTCCCTAACATCTTCAACCAGTAAGACTGATGCAAAGAATTATTTTAGTTTCTCTGCAATTACCTTATCATCTTTGAATACTCAAGAGGAAAAAATTTACTCTGTGCAGAGTTATTCTAAGAACAATGGAGCTTTTTCACTTAAAACAGTAAATGTGCTTGGGGAAAAACAGCATATTCCAAAATAACTGTGGATTTTTTGGCAAGTTTTCTTTTCCTTTTTGTTTTAATTAGCCTCATCAGACTTGTCAGACCATTTTTCCATTAGAATCTATAGATCCATCAACTCACTGCCTATTACTCTTCACTTCCCTGCTTTAAAACTAACAAACAAACAAATTACACAACTTTGATCTTAAACTGCTGCACACAAATGGTTTCCTTGCTTTGCTTTTGTTCCTTTGGGTGGGCAGTTTTCTATGCTCTTGACAGCAACTGGTGAACAACACTAACACTATCAATGACATTGCATGAGCTGGCAATGTGTAAACTTCCCCAAGCAGACATGCCAGGGTTCACAGGAGTCAGTGTTCATAGGGCTGGGGGTTGTTTCTCAGGCTCTGACTGGTCACACTTCCACAATGCCAGGAATGGGCTTTCCTTGCAAAGAGCTAGCTGTGCTGAACTGTAGTAAAATGAGCTTCCTACAGATCTGTGACCAAAGGCATACAAATAATGTTAGTTACAGAGTGACCTCCTGCCTAGGTGCTCTGACACTGCCCATTCATTTTATAACAAACATAAACATTCACAAAGCAAACTGGCTGTCCTCTTTTCAAAACCCTTCTGTGATGCCCATAAAAATCTTTACAACACTTAGGGAGTTGGAGTCATTTAGTCATGTCATTTCTTCCTTGCACACGGTAGGTTGCAAAGCTGGTACTCTGTACCACAGCTGGACTACCAGAGCGTTCCCATCATGGACAGGATGCACAAGAGATGTTCTCTGTAAGATATTTTAATGCACTGCCAGGTATGGCTACTACTAGCTCAGGTACGGTATGTTACACACCGTATCACCAAGTGATTGAATTTTATAGGAACATTTTAGCATTCCATCACACTGAAACCACTTGCCCACCATGCTGACCAGTACTGTCTCATTGTTTCCTTGTGATACGCCATCTGTCTCTCAATACCCATTTGTTGCCATTGGTCTTAGACTGTAGGTTCCTTTTGTTGTGTTTTTGTAAAGTGGGGGCCTGGTCCATGGCTGGGGGCTCCTAAGCACAACAGTAACTCCACTCAAATGCACATCGTAATAAAAAATGTATGAGAGGATTTGAGGGGTCAGGCTCAGAACATCATGGGCACAGCTAGGTTCGCAATCACAAGCGCTGTTTCAGAAAGGAAGACTTGTGTTCCATACTCAATGGAGTTCTAAATGATGGAATAATGATCCATTTCATGGAACAGCTTGCAGGATTGGGACCTTAATTCACTAGAATTGTGCACACAGCCTTGGAAGATGCAAGCACAAATGACCAGTTTCATGCATAAATGGTTGTTTGCGTGTGTGATAAATCTATAGAGCCTTGCAAATCAACAGATATCCGCAGCTCATTTTTATGGATATTGGATGCAGATACAAATTTTATATTGAGAGCCCTGCAAATTTTAGGATATCTGTTTTATATCTGTGGGCACCTACATCTGTGGATGTCAATGTGCATATCCACAGCACATTTTTTGTGGATACAGATGCAGATACAAATTTTGTATCCACACAGGGCACTACGAATCTAACTGATAATGCACAGGCAACCACAGAAATTGTGCATGCAAGTAAGGCTCATCTGTACAACAGCAGCTATTATAAAAAAAGAAAGATCACAATGGAAATTTTGCAGCCTAGTCAAGAATAATAGCCAAGGCTCCAGCGCTCTAGCCACAACCCCCTTGGTTTCCACCCATTTGATCCCATCTCCACATACATATCAGTCTGTAAAGTTTGTCTGTAAATAGGTGATAGGGGAGGGATCACATGAGGATTACCTTTTGTGATCCTTCCCTCTGGGGCATCTGGCATTGGCCATTGTTGGCAGACAGGATACTGGGCAAGATAGATCTTTGGTCTGACCCAATATGGCCGTTCTTATGTTCTTATTCACTCAAGCAATACAGATAATACACTTTGCTATGTATTATTTTAAAAATATCATCTACCTGAAGTTGTAACCAGGGTGTTCAGTTGTTGTTTTGTCATCAAGACGACGAAAACTGTATTTTGGACTGCAGCGGTGGAACCATTTGTCCAGGTTACAATCCCAGTTAATCTCAATGCCCATGATTCCACCCTGGACAGAGAAAGGGAAAACACACTTTAAATGAGATCAAGAGCAGGAAAAAAGGCTGTGCAGGGCTTGGTTCTGAAATTGCTCTATGCACCTAATTCCCATTGAAGTCAATGGAGATTTGAGGGTGGCCCAATGGCAAAATCATATCATAAATACACTAATATTTAAGGTATATTCTTACCTCTAGCAAAGACTTTTTAAGTGACTTAATTAACTGCATATGTAACCCACAGACCTACTGGGTGAGGCTCAGTGGCACTTAGACCACTTATAGAAGCTATATCTACACTACAGAGTTTTATTTGAAAAACAGCTGTTTTCCCCCCCAAAAAAACCTTCACATATCTATACTGCAATCATGTTCTTTTGAAAAAAATAGAAAGAACAGAGGGGTTTTTCCAATGTAAACCTCTTTCTATGAGGCAGAAGCCTTTTTCCAAAAGAGCTATTTCAGAAAAAGGTGCATGTGGACTGGGAAGAGGGAGGGAGTTCTTTCAAAAGAAGAGGAAAGAGGAAAAAGCACAGGTGCCCTGGTGGCCACTCTGTCCATATAAACACAGCTTACATGCGAGAGAGTGTCCATTCAGTCTGGACACTATCTTTCAAAAAAGCAGATCGCTTTTTCGATGCACTTTGGCAGCGTGCATGCTCTCTTTTGGAAGAAGTTTTTTTGGAAGCTCTCTTCCGGAAAAGCTTCTTCTGAAAGAAGCCTGCAGTCTAGATGTTGCCAGAGAGAAAGAGTGAGTGTGCTCTATAGCCTTAGCTGATACCCAGCTGGTTTTTAGTTCAAGCTGTAGAGGCTTATGCACTAAGCTCCAGAGGTTCTAGTTTCGGTTCCACTTGTTAGCATTACACACAGATCAAACTAGTTAGAAGCTAAAATTCTTTCAAATACTGAAGGCATCTCTTATTTTTTGGCCAGTTTTCCATCCTAACAACAAAAATTACAAATTTGTCATTTTCTGTTGCCATTTCATTCAATTAAATAAACGATCTCAAACTAATATCTCAGACACAAACTCCCATTAATTTTGCAGGAAATCTAGGATCCAGAGCTGAATGTTGCAACTTAGATGGTATTGCCTACAGAGACCTCAGCAGAACTAGGTTCAGTTTCTGGCTCTGAGCAAGTCACTTCATATCTGTGTCTCCATTTCACACATAAGTAATTATTAGCATTGTTGATTAATCACAGTTAATTAATTTTTTTAAAATTAGTCACAATTAATTACAGTTTTAATTACACTGTTAAACAATAAAATACCAATTTAAATGCATTAAATATTTTGGTTGTTTTTCTGCATATTCAAATATATTGATTTCCATTTACAACACAGAATACAAAGTGTACAGTGTTCTTTTTATATTATTAGATTTGATTACAAATATTTGCACTTGAAAGTGATAAAAGATATACCATTTTTCAATTCATCTCATACAAGCACTGTAGTGTAATCTATTGTGAAAGTGTAACTTAAAAAATGACATTTTTGTTACATAACTGCACTCAACACCACCCTCTGCCTTAGGTGTTGCTTCTATGCACCCCCTTCCTTAACCCTCGCCTCTTCTTGCCCCTGCAGTACCCTTGTCCTGCCTCTTTCCACCCAATTCCATCCGCTCTACTGAATGTACCCTCTCCCCACTCTTCTCACTCTCTCCTGCAAGCTGCAGAACAGCTGATCATAGCAGGTGGGAAGCACTAGGAGGGAGGGGAGGAATTGATCAGCAGGGTCATCAGTGGATGGGAGGCAATGACAGGAGGAGAGGAGAGAACTAACTGCTGGTGGGTACTAAGCACCCACTAATTTTTTTTCTGTGATTGTTCCAGCCTTGGAGCACCCACGGAGTTGGTGCATATGCACAATCTAGTTAGTTTGACTAACTACAGCAATGAAGCTGCAGCAGCTCGAGCTACACAATGGGAACCTGGGTATGTGTTTGAGTGGCTAAGCCTGTGCTGGCACGACTTCACTGTTACTGTTATCTGAGCTAGGTGGATCAAAGCTAGCAGAGCTCTGTCTGCATGTTGTTTAGTCAAAACTCTGATTACAGTGTAGGAACACCTCAGAGCTGGTCTACACCAAAAAGTTACATCATCATAGTTACGTCTCCCAGGTGTATGAAAAACCCATACCCATGAGAGACATAATTAACCCAACCTAATCCCCTGGGTAAAAAGAATTAGGTCAGTGTTTCTCAACCTTTTTTTATAAAGTACCCCTTTAAAAAAATAGATAAGTACTCCTTTTTCACTTTCACCATATCTGTCATGATTTTATAGACCTCTATCATATCTCTTCTTAATCTCCCCTTTTCTAAGACTGAAAAATCTCAGTCTTTTTAATTTCTTTAAAATTAAAATTTCTTTAAAACTTTAAAATCAGTCTTCATTCCTGTGATGGAGTCGACCAGGCCCCGACAGAAGCTGGAAACCTTGCTGCACGCTGCCCCAGCAACAGGCGCAGAAGAAGGGTTGTCTAAGCAGGATAGAATAGTGGCCTCTGCAGTGGCCAATTAGGAAACAGAAGGCCAATATAAAAGAAGCTGCTGGGCCAGGGCCTGGCAGTTCCAAGCTGGAGCTCAACCCAGGCGGGCCTATGGGCTGATTGGGAGAACAGCAGCACTCTGGACAACTCTGAGTGGAAGCTGGACTTCAGACCTGGTCAGAACCAGTTCCACAGGCTGAAGACTAGCCTGTAAGCCAATGACATCATCTTGCAGAACCTTGGACAGAGTCCAGAACGAACCTGACCACAAAGCCTGAGAGAAAAGGCTGGACTGAGCAGCTTCCTGAGGAAGTGGCCCAGGGAATGTGACAGCAACAGACTTCTTTGATATGCAGCAGGTAACTGCTACTTACCAGGTCCCTGGGACGGGACCCAGAGGAGTGGGTGGGCCTGGGTACTCTCTATCCCCCAGCAGCCACAACACAGGGTAAGAAGAGGCCTGGTCCCAGGCCACATACCAGACACTTCGTCTCACACAGACAGCTGGGCAGAGTCTACAAGTCTCCCCTCGGCCACAGGGGTACTCAGAAGAAGGGCAGAGCCCTTTATGTACCCATTCCAAATCCCTAATCATTTTGTTGTATTTTTTTGGACCTTTTTCCAATGTCAATATATCTTTTTTCAGATCAGGTGGTATGCCGTATTCAAGATGTGAGCATACCATGGCAATAGAGGCAATATGATATTTTCTGTCTTATTCTCAATCCCTGTTTTAATGATTTCTAATATTCGGTTTGCTTTTTTGACTGCTGTTGCACACTGAGTGGATGTTTTCAGAGAACTATCCACAATGACTCCAAGATCTCTCTTGATTGGTTATATAGCTAAATTAACTATATAAACTACTAAGCTACAGTTCATTTTCAAGTCTGACACAATCAACTCAGGATTAAACAAAGACTGTGAATGGCTCGCTAACTACAAAAGCAGCTTCTCCTCTCTTGCTATTCACGCCTCCAGATCAGCTACTAGAAGAGGGCCTCATCCTCCTTGATTGGATCCACCTCGTCATCTCTAGCCTGATTCTGGCCTGCATATTTATACCTGCTTCTGGAAATTTCCACTACATGCATCTGATGAAGTAGGTCTTTGCCCATGAAAGCTTATGCTCCAACACTTCGGTTAGTCTATAAGGTGCCACAGGACTCCTCGCCGCTTTAGCTAAATTAGTTTCCATCATTTTGTAAGTATAGTTGGGATTTTTTTTTCCAATGTGCATTACTTTGCTTTTGTCAACATTAACATTCATTTGTCTTTTTGTTGCCCAATCACCTAGTTTTGTGAGATCCTTTTGAAGCTCTTACCAGTCTGCTTTGTTCTTAACTATCTTGAACAGTTTAGTACCATATGCAAATTTTGCCACCTCACTATTTACCCCTCTCTCCAGACCATTTCTAAATAAGTTAAATAGGATTGGTCCCAGTGTAGACCTTTGGAGGATACCACGAGTTATCTCTCTCCATTCTGAAAACTGACCATTTATTCCCACTTTTTATTTCCTGTCTTTTAACTAGTTATCAATCCATGAAAGGACCTTCCCTCTTATCCCATGACAACTTACTTTATTTAAGAGCCTTTGGGGAGGGTCCTTGTCAAAGGCTTTCTGGAAATCTAAGTAGACTATAGCCACTAGATCCCCCTTGTCCACATGTTTGTTGACCTCCCTCAAAGAACTCTAGCAGATTAGTAAGGCATGATTACTCTTTACGGAAACCATGTTGACTTTTCCCCAACACATTGGCTGCGTCTAGAGTGGCATGATTTTGTGGAAATACTTTTAATGGAAAAGTTTTCCCGTTAAAAGTATTTCTGCAAAAGCACATCTAGATTGGCATGGGTGCTTTTTCGCAAAAAGTGCTTTAAAAGTCATTAAAAGACATTAAAAAGTCAGTGCTCTTGCGCAAATTCAAGTGGCCAGTGTAGACAGCTGGCAAGTTTTTGTGCAAAAGTGGCTGCTTTTGTGCAGTCTTGCCAGTCTAGATGCACCCAGGGTGTTCATCTGTGCATCTGACAATTCTATTCTTTACTATAGTTTCAACTAATTTGCCTGGTACTGACGTTAGACTTACTGGTCTGTAATTGCCAGGATTACCTCTAGAGCCCTTTTTAAATATTGGAGTCACTTTAGCTCTCTTCCAATCATTAGGTACACAAGAGGATAGTCCTGGTGACTTGTTACTCTTAAGTTTATCAGTTTGTTCCAAAACCTCCTCTAATGACACCTCAATCTGGGACAAATCCTCAGATTTGTCACCTAAAAAAAAGGGCTCAGGTTTGGGAATCCCCCTAACATCCTCAGCTGGTAAGACCAAAGCAAAGAATTCATTTAGCTTCTCTGCAATGTCCTTATGGTCCTTTAGTGCTTCTTTAGCATTTTGATCGTTCAATGGCCTCACTGGTTGTTTAGCAGGCTTCCTGTTTCTTATGTTCTTAAAAAACATTTTGTTATAACTTTCTGATATTTTGGCTAGCTGTTCTTCAAACTCCTTTCCTTATTAGGGATAAATATTGGTTTATTGAATAGTCAAATAACCTCATGAATTCTTATCGGTTAGTCGTCTATTCTATAGTGCGTGGGGTGGGGCTGGCAGCCAGTGCATTCCCAACCCCAATCCCAAGGAAAAGATCCTGTGCTTCATTGAGGACTAAATGAAGAATTACTTCTCCCCTTGGGTGTTCCAGAACCAGGTGGTCCAAGAAGCAATCATTGAAGGTGTCAACTTTCTCTGCATACGAGGTGTCCCGAGGTGATGTGTACCCAGTCAATATGGGGATAGTTGAAATCATCCCCCTCCCCACACACACTATTATTGAGTTTTTTATTTTTATAGCTTCTCTAACTTCTCTTAGCATTTTATAGTCACTAGCACTATCTTGGTCAGGTGCTCAATAATATATCCCTACTGCTATATTCTTATTATTAGAGCAAGGTATTACTATCCATAGAGATTCTATAGAACATTTTGGCTCATTTAAGACTTACTTCATTTGATTCTACATTTTCTTTCACATATAGTGCTACTCTCACCCAAGCACAACCTGTTCTGTCCTTCCTATATATTTTGTACCCTGGCATGACTCTGACCCATTCATTGTCCTCATTCCACCAAGTTTCTGTGATCCCTATTATATCAATATCCTCCTTTAATACAAGGCACTCTAGTTCACCCATCTTATTATTTAGACTTCTAGTGTTTGTGTATAAGTACTTCAAAAATGTGCCACCTTTTAGCTGCCTGGCATGCATGGCTTTGAGTGCCCATTAACGAATCCTAGGGAGAGGAAAAGTACATGTTAACTGACCCGAGAAGACTGTGTAACTAATTACGACAACCATGTCCAAAAAGGAGTAAATAAGTATGTGGCCAATCCTGGAAAATGTAAAGCATCCTCAATGCTCATTAAATTCTGTGGTGTGGAGGGTGCCCTGCCTTTCCCAAGATCAGCCCTTAAAACTGGACAGTGTTTAACAAGGGAAATGAAAGAGAAATACTACAGAGGTATGCTAGTACTGACAGGAAACAGAAGTCATGCCACAGACCTGAATTGCCATCTCTGAAAAATTTTCTCCTGTTGCTTGGAGAATATCTCCCAGCTGAAAAATTGGGCAGTCTGGTGCAGTTATCTTGTTGAATGTGCATGAAATATTCAGTTTTGGTGAAAAATTTCTTCTGTAAAGAACAACCACAAATTATCTGAAAACATAAATGTGAGCTCTGCTGTGACAAAGCATCTACAGATGTCATTGAAGGGCTCCCTGCTCATTGCTTTCCCTGAACCAGTATCAAACATATTCAGTTTGCTAG